AAACTCGAAACTTTGCTTGAGAACTGCTTGGGGAAAAAAACCCAAAAGAAGTGGGATTAGATAAGGAAATTGTTGAAGGAAGTTTAACATCATTACCAAAACATCGTCCTCTGTTTCTCTCCCTTTTTCTTCTGGCCTTGATTCTGCACCTGCAGACGAGTGTTGTGCATATTTGTTTCTGTTTCTGGTATGTTTCTCATTTATTGTGGCTGTTTCAAACTGAGACCTCCGTAAGTTGTCATCTTGCGGTAAAACAGCAGGAGGTCTTTATGCGTTCGGGGCTCTTCTCATGTCAGACAAAGTGAGWGAATTTTCAGGTCGTGGGGGTCTGTATGTGCAGCTGGCAGCTTTGAGGTACAGCCATAACACAACAACCAGCTGAGGGTAGAATCTCTTCACTCTCTCGCTCTCTCTGTGTCTTCCCACTAGGTGCACTGACAAGGTTCAGCCCTAAGCTTTGCCTGGGGCCAGAATGATCTCTCTGTTTTTCCCATCTCCCATATCACACATCCTGCACTACAATTGGCGGACACAATGCATTCACAATGCCACCGGGGGGTAGAGAATGCACACAAATAAACCCAACAAAGACATCCATGATGGACTTAAATGGGATAGCGGAATTTCGAAGCGGCGCTGTGATTTGGAAAAACCTAGAAAACGAGCAGCGCAACTTTTTATGAGCAAAGGCGACTTATGTCAGAAGTTATTCATGTTTGAGRTGGCTACCTGTTACAGTTTTTTTTTCTTTCTCATGGGACTTTAAGCCAGCTTGAAAGGATCAAAGGGAAAAGAGGGAGAGAACTAAGTTTGATTGAGTGTGTTACTTTGACACATGTGTACAAGAGAAAGGCATTTTAGGTATGTTACTGATCTGCTGCTATTTTGACAGAATGGGGCTGTTTTAGTCTAAATTATTCTAATCTATTTAAAGAGGTTTTGGCAGCTGGGAAACTTGAGAGAGAGTACAAAGCAGATTTCATTTGATTGAGACTGAGGTGACTTCCTGTCCTGCAATGTTCTTGAGCTGTTTCCTGTCAGTACGATCCCCCCTGCTGAGAGGCTGTGTTGGTTTAAGGCAGAGAACGTGCTGTTAAAATGTTGAACACGCCACGCCAAATTATAAAACCAAKAACTGCAGTGTTTTTATTGTAACATCACTTCAAATAGTATTGAATACTTTCTGAAAAATGTATTTATCAAGTTAAACATATTTTTAGGATKTTTCTTTTTAAGTGAACGAAATGACACAAATGAAATATTATATTAATGTCGACCGCACAAGAGCAGGCCTCCTTTTTGAAATCGTGACGCCTCCGGCAAGGCTGTGTTTTTCACCAAGCRATCGTTTGAGAGCGAGGGTCAAGCGTAGGTAAGGGTTTTAATGACACATCCTGTTTATCCTGCTTCTGTTGGGTGTAATCAGGGCTTCCAAACGGCTTCCCCAGCTGTGGAACATTCTTCATGGTCATCAAGAGTTTGATTTTAGGAAAAGGGACTAAATTTAGCCGGGGCTTGTTGAGTACATGTTCGGTGGCTTCTCCAAACGATTCCGTTTGCGTGGAAATCAAAACGCTCAGTGYCGATTTAAGTGACAAATGTCAAAGCAAAGGTGTAAAGCTTGCTTTTCTTCGGGGGTTCACGCCGTATTTTATTCATTCACACACGGCATGCTGAAAAGACAACATCAAAAGAATTTTAAGACATTTCAGCAGCACTCGAGAAACAGCACGACAGAGACGAGGAGAGGAGAGGGAGACTGAGAGGCTCTGCTTTAGAGGCAGCCACAGCACCTTCCTGCCTAATCACCCCCTGTCCCTGCCCTCACTCTTGTTCCCGATCAGAGCAGCACTGCAGTGTTTCTATCAGATCATCTCTCCCTGCTCGTCTGCGGCCCTTATGTTTATGAAAATGATACTCCGCAGGAATGCTTCCTGCATGCCAAGATGTCACTGTCTTTCCTCATCACTTGCGTCTACGTGCATGTTCCAGTCTGTTTGTGTGCGCGAGAGCGCGTGAGGGTCGAGGGAGGCAGGCGGCGGTGGAGTATAACTAACTGACTCGCTTTGTTTATGATTGTGTGGCATGTGTTTRAAGTTGTGAGTTTCTAGGTGAAATGGGTGCTTCTTTTTTAAAATAAAAGTTCCATTTTGGGAGTCTTTTTGTTGTTTTGTGAGTTTATTGTGCGAGCTGTGACTGAGACGTTGATTCTGTGAAAGTGCACCTCCTACCATTCTTACCCAGCCCCACCCCAAAGAAATCATTCACAGAACCTAATGATACTTGTCTTTCCCCCACATGGCATCAGCTCAGTTTATCATTACAAGAGCCCGCTCACATTCTTGCTTTCTTTTTCTGTTTCACACACGCACACACACACACACTGAAAAGATTCATACATCCACCCCACACCATATGCTTAGATGTTAGTTAAGACTGCATCCAAAAATATTGTTGTGTTCAAAATATTCATAATTTATTCTAAGGGAGCTTCTATATTCCCATCACCTTTTATTAGCTTGATAAATCACCTCTGTTGTCAGTCAAGGCAAGGAGAATAATTGGATGTGGTTGTCGCCCTGTGTGATGGATTATCAGTCATTGGGGATTAAATTAACAGATAGTGCTCAGACATAATGGTTTTTGTTTTGCATTTTAAATTGCCTGGGAGCAYGGTTCGACTCTAAAGGTTTTTATTGCTGGTCCTTTTGGACTTCTCTCCCTCCCTTTCTGTGCTGTCTGCACTTCATAACAAATGAACAATAGCTCCTAGGGCCGCAGCTCGATTAGTATAAAATTTTACAACATTTACAACTAGATTAAGACACAGAAACAGAGCTGGGAAATCTTTTTTTATATATGATTGCCTGGTCTGACATTGGATCTTGCWACAGTGAAATAAAATAGCAGAAATAAAAGGGAAGAAGTATTAGCGATATTGTGTTGTTGAGGAGGAAAAAGGTGACTTGGCAACTTGGTCAAGCGRTGTCCCGTGATGTTCATATGTTTAATGACATCTGCGTGCCCTTTTTTTTACATGTTCAGTTTTTCAAAACCAAGAAAGAAAACCAAAGTTAGAAAAAAATGGAGTGAGCGGTATACTTGAGCACGATTGCAGAAGATATATATCTCTGTTTCCCCCAAGCAGGAGCGATTTACCTCTTCACCCGTCCCTTCCCTTTTCCCCACGTCCACATTATCATAATTGTGTCCAGAACATGAGGGGCCGGGGAAGTGATCATGTCATTTTATTTACACCCAGCTTGGCCCTTTTTACAAACGACATGCCACTGACTGCCAAGCGGACTGGGGCCCGACGACATCTTTTGATCAGGGCTGTCAGGGCCGATCAGCGGAGAGTGGCAGGTAATGGATACCCAGTGACAAACCAAATCTCCGGGAGGACGGAGAGTGGGTCGCACCTGCCAGGTCTCCATTAGGCTGGCCTCACAGTGGGGCTGCCTGCTGACTGTGCCCCCGGGGTCCAAATCAGACCAGCGCCAGCCGCATGGCTGCCTTGAGATTGGCTGTTAGCACTGGAAATGAGAGTTATTTCAGCTATGACATTTTTGATTAGACTGGATATGTGGTGGTGG